CTCGGCCCCGTCGACGTCCGCCCAACGGCCGGCCGCCGCCGAGCGGAGGAGCGGGCGCGGCGCCGAAGGTACGACGTTCTCGGCCCTCGAGTGGCACGTTGCGAGTCATCGATCGATCGATTGATTGAAAGCGTCCACATCGCAAATAACGGGCGCTAAACGGCGTGTTCACTCTCAAAGTTGGCGCGCGCCGTCGGCGGCCAGCTTGCCGAACCCTTCGCGATTGGCCAACGTTTGCAGAGAGCGCCTGGACGGAAACCGTTGGGGGAAGCTGCTGGGCGATCCCGACCTGATGCCGTTGTTCTTGTCCTTGTTGTTGTCGTCGTGTGAGCGCAGAATTCAAGCGTTTGCATCCGCTTGGTCGCTCGTCGTCGGCGTCGGGGGCGCCCTCCACGCCGCGAGACCATCCCGCCCTCGGCCAGGTGAGTCAAAAAGAAAACGTCCTCCCTCGATCGCAGCTCGTCCGCGAGGCTTTCGAGACGAGAAGCTCGAGAGGCGCGCTAGCGGGCGGCCGCGGAGAGACGCCCGGCGGGAAGGATCGAGCCGGCGGCGCGTCGCCGCCGGAAGCCGACCGTGTCCGCCGAGGATGGACGAAAGCGACGTGAGCTCGATCGAAGCGCGCGAATGCCATTTGTGGCCACCGAGAGGCACGAGGAGCTGGAAAGCAGCTGCTCCTCCTCCGCCGAGACGCAAGGCGGTCCCGGGACGCGTGGGCCAAATGTTGGGAGTGACGCGTGAGCTTCTCTCCGCCCCTTGTAGATGCCGTGGCTGTGCGGGGACGTCACCATGATGGAGACCATCGAGAAGAAACGAGTTTTGTGCGGCGAGATCAAAAGTCGCCGGCGAGCCGACAAGAACCCGGGCCAACGGGACGCCCTCCCCGCCGGGGCGCCCGCCCACAGGAGGAAACAGCCGCCGCCGTACCCGGCGGCCGTCTTGTGGGACACCGCCATCTGAGCCGGCTCGGCGTCTCCTTGTCTGGCGTCGGCGCGCGACGCAATCCTCCTCGGAGAAGCGGCGGGCCGACGGCGACGGCGGAAACGCGCCACCGAGGCGAGCCCGCCTCAAAAGAGGAGAGGCCGCTACCCCGGCGCAAGGCCCCGCGTTTTGAAAGCCAGAGTCGGAGTTTCGGTGAGAAGGCTGACTTACGGCACACTTGCTTCGTTTCAACGTGCGAGCCGGGAGGTCGTTTGCGGCCCCGCCCCCGTTCTTGCGCAGCCCGCGGCGTCGGCGCTTTTCAGAAGGCTCGACGCCAAGACTCTGACGGCGGGCGCATCCACGACTGTCCTTCGTTCTGCTGACACAAGAGTTTCAAATGAAACGCACGTTGACCAACGTGCGCGGTCACGAGATGGCTGCACTCGGCTTCCAAACCGGCAAAGCACCTTCGCCGGAAGACGATCGTGGAGAGAAACCGAGACGTGTTTGCTGAGCATCGCTAACGGCAAAGCGTTTGCTAGCGCAGGCGAACCCACGCGCCGCTGCAACCGGCCGCGTTCTCGGACCGAAATTCAGCCTGGGAATTTTGTTCGACGGTCACCCCGCCGCCCGACACGGGCCCGATGGTCGTCGCCGAATGGTGGGCGTCGTACGGCGGGCTCCAAAAGTGAATTCGGACGACAAACCATCGCTCCAACGCACAAGATGTTCTTTCATTTGGACCACTTACTGTTCATGAGGAATAAAGTATTGGGCCGATGACTGCGTGGTTGCTTTGCGTGTGTTTGAACTTGCGTGATTGTGTCAGCGGAAGGTGTGTGTCGGGAGAAAACGATGAAACAAGGGGGGGGGATGGTGGGGGTCGTACGGCGGGCTCCAAAAGTGAATTCGGACGACAAACCATCGCTCCAACGCACAAGATGTTCTTTCATTTGGACCACTTACTGTTCATGAGGAATAAAGTATTGGGCCGATGACTGCGTGGTTGCTTTGCGTGTGTTTGAACTTGCGTGATTGTGTCAGCGGAAGGTGTGTGTCGGGAGAAAACGATGAAACAAGGGGGGGGGGGGGGGGGGAAGAAT